AAAAAAAAAAAAAAAAAAAATCCCCAAAGTGTCTTTGAAATACTATTTCTATTTCATCTTAAAATTTGGTATCTTGGGGTCTTGGAGATATAGCTCAGTGCTAGAGCTTTGCCTAGCATGAATGAGGCCCTAGCAATGCAAATACAAATAAATATTTTTTAAAAACTGATATGTACACTCCCTCTACCCATTAGATTTCATTCAGCCCTGTTTAATCTTTCTTTCCCCAGAAGCACACATTGTGTATGGGGTCAGCAAGAGGCATTGAGCTTTTCCCTGCTCTGGCCTATTATGATGCCTCTCTTCTCTGATGTGGCTATTTGTTTATTTGTTTTACTCTGTCTCCCAAATGTCTTCTCTTCCTAAAAGTCCCTGACAATTAGTGTGTTCCAGTTGCCTCTCATTCCTGGCCCTCTCAGTTTAGTGGTGCATCTCAGTGGATAAGCTGGTTCCTCTGTAGAAACAATGTTTAAGTACAGGTCCAGGCCAAGGAAAACTTTCTTAAGGCATTGTGGGAAATATCTGTCATCATTCAATTCTCCTGGGTCACAGTCACCTGTGCTGTTATTAAATGATTGAATACTTGAAAGTCTCTAGCAGACTTTGCTTTGGCCAACCCAACTTGGGCCCACACAGGGATCGAGTCCAAGAAATGTACTTTTCAACTCAGCTATTTGACATGGTACAAAATCACTACAAGAAAAGAATGAACATTGTTTTTACATTAGGCCTATTTTTATTGTATATATTTAAGATATACAAATAATGTATTGATATACATATACCTAATTAAATAATTATTACGGTCAAAAAATAATATAATCATGTATATAGTATAGATACAAATATATGTACATATTCCTTTTTTCTTTTTTGGGCTAAGGGAACCTAAAATTTACACTAAGCCTAATTGGAGGAAGTAGGTCATTTCAGGGTATATTCCTTTGAAGGGTATATTTTTTCCTCTGGTTCTTGATCACTTAGCTTCCTGGTCGCTATGAGGTAAGCAGCTGTCCTGTCGTTCCCTTTCTCCATGAAGGCTCTGCTGACCATGGGCCAGAGCCCCCTTTAAGTCATCTATGGCAGGTATTCGGTCACAGCGACGAAAGCTGACCAATACAGAGTTCAAACAGAGAAGAGAAACGATGATTTGAAAAACTCATGGTTGGGGAAGCCTTGAATTTGGTTAAAACATCAATCTACTGATTCAATAATTTCAAGAAACTCTATGCAGAAGAAAAACAAAAAGAAACCCACAACTGGGCATGAAATAGATCCACTACTGAAAATTTAAAATTTTTCAGAGAATTTAGAAGAAAAAGAGATGCATCATAGAGAGGAAAATAGTAAGAATGATGGCTAACTTCTCCTTCAGAAACAATTAGACAATGTCTTTCAAGCACTGAACCATGCCACATACCCCACACAAAAATTAGTTTGAGGTGGATTATAGCCCTCCATATAAAGTTTAAAACTGTAAAGCTTTTACAAAAAAAAAAAATCTCAACTTTAGAGTATGCAAAAAAAATTTTGGACAACACAAAAAGCATTAACTATAAAATAAAATTGAATAAACTGAATCTCATTAAAAGTATAAAGTCCTGCTCAGCAAAAGAAAAGTAAAAAGTATAAGAAATTGTTAAAAAATTAAAAAGCAAGGAAGTTAAAATGAAAACAAATATACTCAGAAATACATAAAGAACTCCTACAAAGCAATAACAAAAAGAATAAAAATCCATTTTAAAAAATGTACAGAGTACTTAAGCAAACACATCATAATGGGAGTTAGATATGCACCTGGCCAAATAGCACTTGAAAGAACGCTTAACCCTGTAAGTCATCCAAACACTGCCAGTTAAGACTAGAAGACTCCACTTAACACCCTATATGATGGCTAAAATTTAAAAGACCAAATGCTGGCACAGATGCAGAGAAACTAAAACTCTACTATACAGGTAGTGAGAGTATCAAAGAGTAAAACAGGGCTGGGAATTTAGCTCAGTGGTTCCACCACCTGCTATGCAAGTGCAAGGACCCAAGATCAATCCCCAGTACCACAAAAAAAAAAAAAAAAAAAAAAAAAAAAAAAAAAAAGGAAGAAAGAAAGAAAAAGAGTAAAACAACTGGGAAACTGGCAGGAGTCTTTAAATAAAGCTACATATATTTTACCAAATGTCTCAACATTCCATTTCTACCCATTTATGAAGAGAAATGAATGTCCTTAAGATGTGTTTCAGTGTGGCTATGGCAGTTTCATTCCCATAAGTCCAAAATAGAATCAACCCCAGTATCCATTGATATCTGGAAATAGAAGCAAACTATGGCATGACCATACACTGTAGTACTACTCAGCAGCAGAAAAGAACAAACTCCTGATATGCACAGCAAAGTAAATGGATCTCAAAAACATGTTGCACAAAAGAAGTCAGACCAAATGAGTACATACCATAAAAACAGGCCAAGCTACTCTGAGGACAAAATTCAGAGCAAGCATTTGCTGTACAGGGCAAGACGCGGATGAACTAGAAGGGCCAGGCAGAGATTGTAGAGAATGCAAGCATCCCATGTCATGACCGGGGAGGTCATTTCTTGGCTGTAGACTAATTAATCAAAACTAATTGAATGATACAGTTAAGATCTAGGTGATTCACTGTTTTTTCAAGTAAAAAAAAAAGAAGGAAAAAATTTAAAAGATGACCTCTACTTCTGATGCTCAAGCCAGCCCATTTTGTCTCCCAGGACTCCCAAGTTCTTATCGCCCATGCTGGTTCCCAACTCTGCCATTTCCATGACTGCTGTTATGGGCGATCTCAGGGAGCTGACTGACAGAGGGGGTAGGAGGCCCCGGCTGGACACTGAGGACAGGGCTGGACAGCCAGGCACCTCGCTTGTTCTAAAGCCCTTTTCCTATAGAAAGCAAACCAGGGTCAGGTATTTAGCTCAGTGGTGCCACCACCAGCCTCATCATAAGCACAAGGTCCCAAGTTTGATCCTCATTCCAAAAAAAAAAAAAAAAAAAAGCAAGCAAGCAAACCATTCCTGGCACTCTCTTCCTCTGTGTCCCTTCTAACATTTCATTCTAATTTTCACGATAAGGAAAAGTCAGACAGAAGTAGAAAAATAGTGCAGATCCTGGGCCAGATGCAGGCTGTGGCTTTCATACTGACAAAATCTTGTGATCCGAGATAGCACATTCCACAGAGCTTGAGAGCCGGGAACACAACCTCACAGCAACTTGGTGTGAGATACATTCCCCCTCACCCTGACTTACAAACAAGAACACTGATGCTCACAGAAGTAACTTGCCTTAGAGCCCAAAACTTGTGTGTGGCTATGCTGGGCTAACACCATGTGCCCAGCCCAGCCAGTACCCCTGGCTACTGTACGTACCACCTGACACGCCGGTTCTACAAATTAAGCTACAACTGCAAAGATAGCAGCTTTGCAAGGAAAAGGGTATAAAACAATGATGTAGCTGGGGAGGGGGTGCCCTGGAAAGGCTACAGCGTCCCCATTCTCCCTGGGCTGTATTCTAGACAGGGAAGCTTGTAAGTGGACCGTCTGCATGTGTTCTAAAAGCTTTCAGCCCTTCAGGCAGCTGCTTTCTGACCCCATAGGAACCCTGAACTCACCAAATATTGTAGCCACCAGCCGCACTGGCTATCATTTAAATTCATATAAATCAAAATAAACTAAAACAGCTGGGCATTTAGCTCAGTGGTGCCGTCACCTGCCTTAGCAAGCGTAAGGTCCTGAGTTTAATCCCTGGTACCAAAAATAAATAAGCAAACAAGGAGCTAAAATTTGAATACTTAGTTTACCAGTCACACATTGCACATGCTCAGTAGCCACATCGTGGGGCCACCATGATGACAGGGCAGGTCCAGACCTTGCTCTTTAACCAGACAGCCCCACTCCTACCCTGGGCCACAATTTTCTGGACCTGAGATGATCCTGCTTATAGATGTCAATAAGAGGGCATGATGGGGTGGCCAGAGAGGTGGCCTGGAGGTGGGTGAGGAGGTCGAGACGCGGGCAGCCCCTCTCCTCTTCACCAAGCATGTGTCCTTTCTGCTCTCTCAGAAACGAGTCCTTTTCCTGACCAATGATTACTTCTTCACGGACATAAGTGACACACCTTTCAGGTGAGGGACCCCTGGCCTTATTAGCAGGGGAGAGGGTAGGTGGGACTCAGGGTGCAACTTTTGGGTCTGGGAGATGGATTGTCTCATATTGGAAGCTTTGTAGCAAAAGACCCAGATCAGCCTTCAGAAAAAGTCTAGACCTGCTTTGCCAATGTGGCCAGGATTGCTGGTTCCTTAGCCAAAGTCCTGGTTTGAATCCCAGGGCCACCAATTACAGGTTGTGGGACCTTAAGTTATTTAACCTTCTGTGCCTTAGATTCCTCACCTATAAAATGGAATTAATGATAGCAGCTTCTTCTTGGCAGTGCTGTGAGGATGAAATGGCACAATCTACTTAAAGATCTCAGAGCGGTGCCTTATAAGATGAAAGGATCAAATTGGAACATCTTTGAGGTTCTCTTTAATTATACAAATATTTGACTCTAAGCTTTGCACAGATTGGGAAACAAGTGGTCCTTGCTCCCGAGTTACCTTGTTTCTCAGCAAAGCCCTGTTTCTCCTTGCCCTGACCGCTCATTTGAATACACAAGGAGTTTTATAAAATTACCAATGCTTAGCCCCCAAGCAAACCCAGTGGTTCCAAATTCCTAGGGTGGAGCCCAGGCACTACAGCTTTTAAAGCTCCAAGGTTTCAGACCTGGTTTCCACCAGGAGAAGAAGGCTGGCAGGACTCACCCAGTGGGAAAGGACTGTCGTGCTCCTGGGGCACACAGACCTCTCTTTGTTTCAGGGGGTCCTGTGACATGCAGGATGGGCCTCAATTAAAATGGTGTGAGGAGTCCTCAGAGTGGCGTTCCCAGGACTTTCTCAGGAGGAGGGGCTGATCAGGAGCTAGTGGTATTCCCAGGCCTGTGCGATGCCTTCCCCTCTCTCTCTTTCCAGCTTGGGCATGGTGCTGTCCAGGGGCCATGGGGAACGTATCCTCCTGGGAAACACATCTGTGGAAGAAGGTAAGTTGGACCAAGCACTGATGGGATTTTCCCAAGACCCTGGATGGGACTCGTTTGGCTGCCTCGCAGTCCCAGGCTTAAGTGCATGCAGCCTGGAGGACAGCACTACTGGAAGTGGGGAGTGCTGTGTGTCCCTGTGGCTTCCAGCAGTCAACATCAAACCAACAAACCCAAAGAATTGCCAGCCCCGTGTTGTCAGATCCTGGGTGGCCTTGCTAAGCTAGAGAGAAGGGCTGTCCAGAGATGCGTTTCTTTGCAAAACTGCATTTTCTATCACAAGACTACACCAAGGGTAGAAAGGAGGTGGGAAGGGTGAGGGATTGAGCACGGAGCAGTGGGAACACCTTCAGGAAGATCGCAAGTTCCAGGACAGCTGTCTCTGCCTGTGCCCCCTTTGTCCCTTCTCATGAGACCCCCGACATATGGCTCCTGGGCCCACTCATGATTCTGCCACCCTAGCCATTGTGACCTCTCCCCTGGACAGCAGCATAGCCTCCCGATAGGCTCTCTATCTTTCTTTCTCTGAACATCGGCCCCAGCCATCTTTCTAGAGTGCCAAATCTGACCACATCTCTGCTAATAGCTTTCTGAACTTCTCAGTCCCCCTGCACTGACCACCAAGGTCTTCCTGAGTGCTGTGCCCCCACCCTGAAATGCTCTCTGCTCCAGCCCCCACCTCTTCTCCAAGCTCACCCTGACGCACCCTCAGGTCCTCGCACAGGTGACACTCTTTGGAGAGCTACCTTGGACAAACCTTGCCTACGCCCACCTGGTGCCCCCCACATTGCCCTTTCAGAGAGATTGGCCCCAATATCAGAGTCTCCTCCTCCTCTGCCCTCTGAAGCTCCCAAGCCATTATACTCCCTGGCCTTCCCTGTGTCTTCTTCCTCTACCCAGATATCCCCATGTGACATTACTCCAGGGAACAGACCCACTTTTGGTCCAGGGGCTGGAAGTCATGAGGTCAGCTGGGCCTCTGGAGGCCGAGATTTAACTCTGTAGCTATTTGTGTCTCTGTTAGTCCAGCCTTCCTTCAAAGGGCTCCCGGATGCCCGCTAGCCTTTCCATCATCCTGTCCTACAAATTCAACCAAACTGCAGCACCTGTTTATGTTTGAGTGCTGAATTCAATCCACAATGAAATACTGAGCATAATCAGTGCAGGCCCTGAGCAGGGCAGGGGGCCACAGAGAGCTCAGGGACACACATGGCCCACGTTTTGCCTCATTTCTCACTGGCCACAGCTCAGTGGGGCCAAGGGAGCCAGTGAAGGCACAATCACTGGTTCCTTGAAGGGAGATGCTAAGGGGAATTAAATGTAGCTGCTCATGTAGCCTAACTACAATGACTAGATTCCAACCTGGAAAATGGGAACGATGTGAAAGAGGAAGGAGAGAAAGAGGAAGGAGGGACTCTGGCTGGCTGGTAGCTCAATGAAGATGTGGTGCTCATCCCAGCCCTGAGGAGCATTCGGGATTTGGGCACAGGCTGCTCTGTGCAAACCTGGCAATGTTCTGTCAGTTAAGCTCCCCTCTGGCTGCAAATGAGAAAGACCAAAACCCAGCCATCCTACAGAATCGCACTGGGCGGCTGTCCCTGAGCACCTGGGGGGACACCCCCAGCAGGGACATTGTCCTAAGTGTGCACTCTGGTTCCAGGCCTGCATGACTTGCTTCACCCAGACCTGACCCTGGCCAGCGACTGGTAAGCAGGAATAGAAGGTGGGAGGGAGAAAGGTGGGTTTTTGAGGTAACGGACTCTCCCCGGTTCCAGGATCTACTGCATCACAGATACTGACCCAGACCACAGGAAGCTCAGCCAGGTGGAGGCCATAATCCACTTCCTAACAGGGGAGGACCCAGACCTGGAATGTGAGTGCCACCCATGCCACGGGGGTGACTTGTCCTCCAGATCCCTACAGTTTTGCAAGGAGGAAGGGGTTAGGAGGTGGGAGGAGAGGAGGCTGCACATGGCCCATCCCTGGAACACGAGAGGTCTAGGCAGAACAGGGATAATCTCAGAGGGAGAAGGCGTGGCCAGCCTCACCACAGGACCAAACTAGACACTACTGGAACTGTGGTGACCTAGGCTGTTCCCATGTCAGGAACTGGCATCTTGTGGAAGCTCTGTTCACCAAGCACTGTTAAGGACATCCACCTGCCTGTCAGCTCTGTGTCTATCATCACCTAGCAGTGGCCCTGGGAAAGCAGCTGATACTCTGTGCGCTGAAGCCCCAACAACAACATCTGGCCAGATGGCCTCACAGAGCCCGTGGCCTCTGAGGATTTTCCAAGCTTAGCCCTTAAGTTCCTCTGCACAAACACTACTGGGGAGCTCCCTGGAAAAGGGGGAAACAAATGGCTTGCTCTCCTGGGACTTTGCCCCCAGGTGATGAGGAGCTGGTGCGGGAGGTGCTGTTTGACGCAGTGGTGACCGCCCCTATGGAAGCCTACTGGACAGCACTGGCTCTCAACATCTCTGAGTACGTCCCAGGAGGGGCTGAGAGTTCCAGGGAGGAAAAACAGCTTGCTGCTCTGGCCTCCAGCATCCCTTGGCTGAGTCAGGAGTCCTTCCAGCACTTGGCTGGCAGTGCAGGGGGTTCGGACATCGATGATGAGGACAGGAGCATGTAGAGTGAGGTACAGGGCAGGAACAACCTTCACACCAAGCCTTCTGGACAGTGGGGCTCTGCAAAACTTCCGCACAGCCCAGGACTGCTGTCTGCTCCTCACTGAGTAAATACCAAGTGCAGGTGCCCTGGGGCACGGATCTAGGTCTCACCCCAAGGCAGCCCCATCCCAAGGACCCTTCTGTCTGGGTTGGACTCTGCCCAAGGAATCTCATCAACCTAAGTGCTCCTGTGAGAGCAGTTCAGATAGTTTGGAGCCTTGTTTCTAGGAGGGAAGGTCATGTAGTGACACCAGGTAAAATCCAGAGAAGGGAGTGTTTTGTAACCCTTTAGATTCCTCACTCCCTCTGCTGCATTTTCCCTGGTGTGTTCAGTGGCCAGGTAGAAAGACGAGTGTCATAAAACTGTGGGGGAGGGGGGCATGAGTGTTGGGAGACAGTGTGATATTGATAAAATTAAGATTACAGTGAGGCCAGGGATTTAGTTCGGTGGTTCTGCTGCCTGCCTCACAAGCACAGGGCCTGAGTTCAATCCCCAGTACAAAAAAAAAAAAAAAAAAAAAAAAATTACAGTGGGCTATATCTTGTTCCTGAACAGGAAGATCCAACATATAAAGATCTCAAACCTCCCCTGCACATTCAATAAATTAGCTTATTACTGATATCCTAATAAGTCTTCCAACAGAATCTTATAATAGCAATCTCCTGGTGCACGGTGTGAAGAAGTATGCATATTGTGCCCAGCATTTCTGCACAAGAGGGGAGAGAACACAGTACATATGTGCATGTGTGTGCATGTGGTACCTGTGGGAAGCTGCTTAGGACAGATTCTTGTTGATTTTTCTCTGTTAAAACCATGAGGAACTGGGCTAGGTATGGACAGGACACTGAACTGTGTGATTTTTTTTTTGTACAATTGTGAACCATACAAATGTCGACCCTTAAAAAATAAAACCTAAAATACAGCAAGGAATAGCTCATAGTGGTCCAGGCACTATTCTAGGTACTTAATGATTATTAACCATATGATCTGGGTGCTGCCATTATCTCTATTTCACCAACACAGAAACCAAGGCATAATATGACCAAACAGTGCTCAGGGTCATGTGCCTCATATGTGGCCAAGCTGGGACCCAGGGTCCAGACACAAGCCTCTGTGCCTCTTCTGCGGGAGGCTGATCGCTAGGTTTGAGAGGAGGGGTGCCACTGTGCTCTTTCCAAGTTCAGAGGTGAGCTATAGATGCTCTTTATAGTACAAAACAGAGACAAGCAAATGTTCTTAACCAAGGTATGCATTAGAGAAATTGACCAAGGTAATTAATATAAAATAGCATAAAACTGAAGAGAAAAGTTTTATTGCTATTTCTATAGGTGCAGAAAATGCACTTGAACAAGTATACATTTATGTTTAAAAACACACACACACACACACACACACACACACACACACACACACACACACTTGATAAAAGTGACCTAAGCCTGAAAGCTAACATTGTAACAGAGCTTGAGGCTTTCAGGCTGAAGCTGTGTCCAAGAAAGCCTCTTCCCCATTCTTGAGCTACAAGTCAGGAGAATCCGTGCACCTAGACACATGACAGCACTTAGAAGCAAGGCGTATTGGAAAGGAAGGAGTAAAATTACCACTACTTAAAAATAATAATAATATGATTAGGGCTGAGATCTACATCAGTGATTGAGTGCTTACCTAGCCTGTGTAAGGCCTTGGTTCCACCTGTAGTGAAAATAAAAAAGCAAATAAAGATGGCATTGTTATATACTTGGAGACATCAAAAGAATTAATAGGGAAACTATCATATCCAATATGAGAATCTGGTAAAGTAGAAGGTTATAATGTCAGCATTCAAAAGCGAAAGAATATCTAAATGAAAAAAGTTGATTTAAAACAGCAAGACATAAAACATAATGATGTTAGAAGACTATAAGAATATATAAAGCATATATTATAAGAACTGTCCAAAACCTATATAAAGAAAATTATGAAACATTCTCATAAGGCACAAAAGTAGACTTGAACACATGGAAAGACACATAGTGTATTTTTGAATAAGAGGGCACAGTATCATAAACGTATTCACTCACCCTGAGTTGATTTACAGATCTAATGCAATCCCAGTGGTAATGCTATCAATCTCTTTCTGCATTCAGATAAACTGATTATAAAGGTCATTTGGAAGAACAAGCAAAAATAGTCAAAAATCCATAGCACAGAAAAGCAGGGAAGGGAGGACAGCCCACTGGGATTCTAAGGCATATTACAAAACCTCTACAGTGTATGAAGTATGGTCCTGGTGTATGAAACAACAGGCAGACACAGAGGACAAAAGAGAAAGCCCAGAATTCAGCCACATGCAGGTGGAGACCTAGTCTGTAGCAAGGCATCGTGTTGATCCCATGCTGGAAAGAGGCACTTTTTAATAACTGGCTCGAGAGCCATATGGAGAATGATATAATTGTGTTCTTTTCTCACGCCATACACCTGGGTAAAGTCCAAGTGACTCAGATTTAAATGTGAAAAAAATGAAATCATATAAGCACCAAAAGAGCCAGTTGCTCTAAAATCTAGAAGTGGGGAAACCTTCCCCAACAATGACTCAAAATTCAGAAGCAATAAAGGAATGATGGATAAATTTAACAACATGGAAATGTTTGTATAGCAAAAATGAAAACATAAGCAAGGTAAAAAGAGTAATGACAAACTGGAAAAATGTTTGCAATTATAAAACAGCCAAAGAGTTATTATCTCTATGTTATATATTCATGAGAAATAAAGAACTTTAAAAATAGAGAACTGAAAGACCAGCTACTATATAAGAAGAGTGCTCAAGAGATACGGGCAGTTCTTCAAAGAAATGCAGAGTCCTTAAATATTTAACAAATGCTCAACCAAGCAATGCATATTAAATACTGTTATGACTGTATCAAAATTGTACTTCTCGCTTACTCAGTGGATAACCATCTAAGCTTGTCAGCAGGTAATGTTAGAGAGATATTTAGCAAATTTATATATACTTTTACACTTTAACACAGCAATCTCAAAGAGATAGGACTCTTTCCCAAAATGCACAAACAAAAATATGAAAAGATGTGCACATGAGCTATTCATTAAAGCATCACTTATAACAGTAAAAGATTGGCAACAACCCAACTTTTCATAATAGGAGGCCAGTTAAATAAACTTTGTGATAGAGCCACACGGGAGTACTATGCAGCTATAAAAAATGAGAAATATTTGTAAAACTGTCTCCAGCAATAAAATATATACAATGCTTCCACTGTTTATCTAAAAAGAAATAAAAATATATTTTTAGAATTATTTACACAATGCATATACTTTTTGTTTCTTTACTTTCTTTTAATTTCCTTTTAACTGATATATAAAAATACTACAGATTAACGGAGTACCATGTAATGTTTCAAAGCATGTATATACTGTAATATTTAAATCAAGTTAAGCATATCTATCTCTTCATACATGGATCATTTATTTCCTTATGGTAAAAATATTCGAGCTTTTCTATATTTTTTTTTAGTACTGGGGATCAAACTCAGGACCTTGTGCTTGCAAGGCAAGCATGGTGCCACTGAGCTACATCGCCAGCCCTTGTATTTTTAAATGCGTAGAACTTTATTATGATCTCTTGTCAACCTACCACGCACAGTGAAACTTCTGACTCCTATCTTTTTTTAACTTAGCACCCTTGACCCACCTTTCCACAAACTTTCCTCCTCTTTACTCTTCCTAGCCTCTGGTAATTGATATTCTACTCTCCATATACATATTTTCTTAATAAAATTATAAACCAAATAAAAATGTTACTTATAGGCGATAAACTAAATAAAAAATGTTACCTATAGGAATAGTAAAGGAACAGGGGGATGAATATAGAAATGGCCTTTGGAATATGCCTTACTTTCAGACTAACTTTGGTTTGGGGAACCTTGTAAATGTTTCATAGAATTATAAAACAAAATTAAATTTTAAAAAGTAATCTCTACATATTGAAAGCAAAAAATATATATCTAGCTGTGTATCAAGTTCATGACTAACTATAGATAAGGAATTCTCTCTAGAGGATTTAGAACTATAAATATTAAATAAAATCTAAAATTGTACTCAGTAATAACATAGCTAGATGTTGAGTTGTTATTTAGAATAGATAGAGCAAGTAGAACTATGTTAATATCCTAAGAGTAAAGACTTTCTGGAAAAGAGGAAAGATATTCAAATTTCAAAATTTAAAGAAGTTTAAACACAATGCTAAAAATGAATTAGAAGTATCAATTTGAACTCATGTCATATTTTTTTCTTAGAGAAATAAAAAGAAAATACTACCTTTTTACCTGAAATACTTATGTAAAGCTTTCCCCACTGAGAGAACTGGCCTCAGAGAGCATCCTAGCCCCACACTGTGGCCATTCCAGGCTGTTCTCATGAAGTTGAGGCATTCATGGACCTTGGTCAAATTCTGACTCAACCAAACTTTTAAAAGAAAATGTGAGGTGGGCCAAGGATTTAGCTCAGTGGCACAGTGCCTGCCTTATAAGCACAAGGTCCTGAGTTCGATCCCTGGTACAAAGAAAAAATTTTTTTTGAGGCATGATATTAAGGAACTGCAGGCTTTTTAAAGGGTATAATAAAATTCCTTGCATTTTAATTGATTCAAATTGAAATGTTTGCTGACGGATTACCCAAGACTTTAAGATAATCTAATGTGGGGGTTGGGGGAAGCTGTAGACACACAGACTGGCATGGGTGGGTCACTGCGTGGAAGCTGAGTTGTGGATAGAGTACTCATCTTACTTTTTAGTGGAGAATTGGGTTGGATGTGTATAGAGACCACTTGGAGGGCCTACTGCAAGCTCGGGCCTCTGTGGTGGTTAAGCCCCACAGGTATCTCAGGGCACACCCTGCAGGAGCCCTTCACTACAGCTCCTCTGGGGCTGAGAGGCGCCCACCTTTCTTCCACTTTCTAGACCTGAG